ATGAGTTTCGTCATCGTATGTTGATTTTAAGTCAAGTTTGTGCGGCGAGGTCACTAACAGCTTCAAGTTTCAAGCAGGTGTGTGAATATTTAGGCTTATTAAGTATATGTGCATTAAGCAAAAAAAAAAAAACAATAAATAAAAATAAATCGATTATGTGAAAATTCTAACTGTATTTAATCCTTTAAATATTTGTCTTTAATTTTTAAGCGGAGACTTTATAATAATAATAATACCCAACGATTACCTTCCTCCCGCCCAATCGGCGCGAGGAGCGCAATCCGCGAACGAGCGGAATTAGCCGAGTCAAAAGGCAAAAGAGTTTTAAGCGTTGCGATCTTAAGCTGCTCAGCTACAGAAACAAAAATTTCAACAGCCAAAACTAAGAATTAGATTAAAGTTTATAATTTTTAAATGTTACTTGTTAAGAGTAGATAAAATAATTTTTTAGTGGTAAAGAGTGAGTTTGTTAGATCAAATGTGCTGGAATGAGAATTGAAATCATGACATATACGGCTGAATGGTTAGTTTAAATCAATATTTGTTCTAGAGCGAGCGGGAATGTTAAAATTAATATCAGATAAGAGAGATGGGCTACAGACTGACCMATTGATGAGTTTTACAAGAAATATTATACCAAGCATTTCCCTACGACTAGCGAGTGTAGGGAGATTTATAAGCTTTAAACAGTTAGTGTAAAGGGAAAGATTTAAATTGGAATCAAAATTGTTTTTTAACGGACTCTATTTTCTCAGAATGAACTTGATAACAAAGGTTCCATACCACGGAAGCATACTCTAATATAGTCCTCACCAAAGATGTAAAAATAATTTTTTTTAAATTAATCAGATAAAATTGTCAGCAATTAAGAATTTCAAAGTTATTCAATTCTTCCGTAACTTTTGGACAGTATTATGTTGATAATTTTCGTGTTAACAGTTTAGAATTCATTTGATTTATTTTTGTTGTAATACTAGACTTCATCGGTTCACTTTTTAAAATATGATACTATTATCTGCTCTTGACAACAGACTTATCAGTGAGGTCTCAATTTTATTATAAAGGACTTCTTTTAGAAAGTGACTGTGATTTGGTAATGTAATATGCTGTATTCACACTTAGCCAGAGTTTTTCCTTTGTCTTCACCTTCAATTTAATTTTTTTTTTCATTACTAAACGAATTTAGCTTAGGACCTAATGTTAGAAATGACCATAAATTCGGCAAAGCCACTCAACTTACAATGCTATTAGATAATCTTTCTTTAGCGCTCTGTTCCTTAAAGTTGGAATTAGCTGAAGCTGAGAGGCTTTTGTTTTCTGGTCTAGTCGTTTTGACTTTGGTCATGACAAAATATTTCCCCATAATTTAATGATATGCTTAGAGTTTTTAGTTTTCTTTCCTGATGTGCGTAATGGTTGTTTTGGTTGATAATAATATTCCTAACTTCTTATTTTTGTAGCAGTCTTATATAAATTTAGATAATTAAGTTGAATCCCAATCCAAAGATACACTTGGGAAGCTAAAGATGAGTTCCTTACCAAGTCAAATAACTTCGAAAGGTGGATATAAATATTCATGTGTCTCCTTTCACCCGGATAACTAAAAGTCTAAAATCCCATATCTTTCAACCATGATTTTAAAAACGTTAGACGGTTGAGCAGGAAATGTTGAGACGATTCGACGTCATACTGCTATTGAAACGAATATCTATTTATCCACACGAAAGTGTATTTCGAAGGTCCATCCAGTATAATTTTCATTGTCTTTATTTAGTTGCGAGTTGTGGTAAATAAATTCACTGGTCCAAACAAAATATTACGCAGTTGCAAAAATAAAGCTGCTGGACCATTCTAATAGATTTCTAAATTAATTCATGCAGGTCGCGGTTGTTTAGAAAAGTTGGAATCATCGCTAATGAGGCGAATGAAATTTAAAGTGGACTTTCACCGGTTTAATTAACGTTTCTGTTTTTGATAAACCAATGAATGTCTTGGTGGCTGTTATGAAAAATTGGTTGGAAGCCAAAAGAGCAAGCAAGCGACTTCCGTGCAACCACCTTTGACAACTAAATAAAAGAGGAATGAAACGAAGCGGTGAAAATGGAGGCCTTTGTCTGGCCGTGTTAACACAGACGCCGCACACTCCAGCTTCCGTGATTCCATACACGACCGTCCTCTTAATATTTGCCAGCAGCCTTGTTTGCGTTTTTGTAGCTTTTCGTTGTTAGTACGTACTACATATGCTAATTTAATGTCATGCACAAGCACAAACGTACTTATTTACATAGTTTGCGTGTAAACTAGTTAGCCAACCCTACTGTGACATTTGTCATTCGCCCGCTTCGTTCCACAGCGTCAAGTCAAGTTCAGTGTCGGCTACTTGCCTCTGTGGCAAGCTGCTGCCTTCTTTGTCCTTGTGGTTCTATTTTTCGCTTTCTTGTTTGCTTGACTCAGGTGTTTGTCTTTGGCATACACATGTGCTGGTGTGCGTCTCTGGTTTCGTATGTGACCGCCTTGTCAACCGCATGTCAAGGTTAATTGGTTCGTCCTTGAGCGAACAGCTGTAAAAGAAAATGAAATCAGAAAGCGCTATACAAAATAAGAAATTGCTGGCACATTGTTGGACCCCCATTCATATACGATTATGTGAATATATCAAACTTGACCCCATTTTTTTCCAGGATATTAGAATCTAGGAAGATCACTTAATTTACTACCAATTTGTCAAAGTTAAGATAACACAGTTCTAATTGCTCGCAAGCAGCGGTGTAAAAATGGGATTATACTATGTTCGGGCCGACATTGAAAACATTTTGATTCAAGTAAGGAAGGGCTAAGTTCGGGTATCACCGAACATTTTATACTCTCGCATGATAAAGTGATAATCGGTATTTCATTATCCGTCATTTACATATTTTTTTTATTTTGCTGTAAAATTAATTAGATTAGATCAATTTGTGTACTTTGAGTATTGAATTGTTTTGTCATTTATTTTAATTGTATTGAAAAGTCCGATCAGGACAGTTTTTCGACAAGGGATACCTCAGCTCAAATACCGTATTTGTGTAAAGTTTTATTCCGCTATCATCATTATTTCCTAATGAGAAGGCATCAGATGGAATTCAAAATAGCGTTATATTGGGAGAAGGCGTGGTTGTGAACCGATTTCACCCATATTTGGTACATGTCATCAAGGTGTTAAGAAAATATTATATACCGAATTTCATTGAAATATGGTTTTTGGTCCATAAGTAGGCGACGCCACGCCTATTTTCAATTTTAAAAAAAGCCTGAATGCAGCTTCCTTCTGACATTTCTTCCGTAAAATTTAGTGTTTCTAGTCGGTTAACGCACTTTTAGTGATTTTCAACATAACCTTTGTATGGGAGGTGGGCGTTATTATTATTATTATAACGAAACGACCCTATACAGTTTGGTTGACATAGCTATAGGAGTTTCCGAGATATGTGCAAAAAACTTAATCGGGGGCGAGGCCACGCCCACTTTTCCAAAAAAAATACGTCCAAATATGCCCCTCCCTAATGCGATCCTTTGTGCCAAATTTCATTTTAATATCTTYATTTATGGCTTAGTTATGACACTTTATAGGTTTTCGATTTCCGCCACTTTGTGGGCGTGGCAGTAAGCCGATTTTGCCCATCTTCGAACTTAACCTTCTTATGGAGCCAAGAAATACGTGTATCAAGTTTCATCACGATATCTCAATTTTTACTCAAGTTACAGCTTACACGGACGGACGGACGGACGGACGGACAGACAGACAACCGGATTTCAACTCTACTCGTCACCCTGATCACTTTGGTATATATAACCCTATATCTGACTCTTTAGTTTTAGGACTTACAAACAACCGTTATGTTAACAAAACTATAATACTCTCCTTAGCAACTTTTTTTTTCACTTACAACTCACAAATTTATTTGTTTGTTTACATTTGAGCTTTGAAATTCTTAATATTTGCTTATAATTATTACTAAAGATCGTGTTTTTTAGAATTCTGAGAAAAAGATGTTAATTGCGAAAGCATTGGCTGTGAGAAGCGAAATAAATATCCTGCTCAACGACAATTCTTCAAGAGAACTATTGGAAAGTCTTACTACTCAGCACCATGCCTTGGCAAAAAAGATAGCCGAGTTAAAGAAACAACATCTAATCGTATTATATTTAATAAAGGACCTTGGGATACCGATAAATGCATGTGGGACAAAAGTGTATATATGTTCCTACTGATGCAAAAGCTTTCAATTATATATTATTAATTCCAGCAACGTAAGAATCAGTTTTGTAAACACGATTGCCAACGAAGCAGATCTGCTTTTTTTAAAGAGAACTTTCGCATGGACCTAAGTTCCTTTGATAAATTATTTGACATCCTCCGCCCGTTACAAAAAATGGATACAAATTACCGAAAAGCTATTACTATCGAGAAAAGAGTGGCTAGGATCATCTGCAGATTATCATAGTATCGCCAACATGTTCGGAGTAGGTAAATCTACGGTTTTCGCAGTTCTACTGGAATTTCGCACCGAAATCTGGAGATTACTGCAACCATCCTGTTTTAAAATGTTGCCTCTAAGCTGAGAAAATATTGCGTTGACCGAAAAGAAACCGGTAATTTTGCATACAAACGGCGTTGACAATTTTTGAACGGCTTATGACTCTCTTATCGCATTTTTGCTTTTGTCAAATATCAGCTGGTACTTTTACCTTGCCTTAGAAAAAAAGCGCGCGTAATTTTATTTATATTTGTTTGTTTGKCGGTAATTTTAATATGGAGCCCACAAAGGAGCATTTTCGTCATATTTTACTTTATTATTTCCGTAAAGGAAAAAATGCAGCAACCTGAGTTGCTAAAAATTTACGTGATGTGTGTATGGCGACAAAGCCTTAAAAGAAACACAGTGCCAAAGTTGGTTTGTCAAATTCTGTTTGGGAGATTATTCTCTCAAATATAAGCCACGTTCAGGTCGGCCAAGTGCAGTTGATGATGACGTCATCAAGGCTTTAATCGAATCGGATCGTCATGTAACTGTGATATGCATCTTAAACGCAATGGAAATTATCCGTTTTTGAAGCAAATCATAACTGGAGATGAAAAATGGATTCTTTACAATAACGTCAATCGAAAACGATTATGGTGCAAGCAGGATGAAGCGCAACAAACCACTCCAAAGGCTTAAATTCACCAAAAGAAGATTATGCTATCAGTTTGGTGGGATTGGAAGGGTATGGTATATTTTGAGCTGCTTAAAAGGAACCAAACGATTAATTCGGATGTCTACTGTAAGCAACTGGATAAATTAAACATAGCAATCAAGAAGAAGCGACCAGAATTGGTCAATCGTAAAGATGTCATATTCCACCAGGACAACGCTAGACAGCACACATCTTTGGTCAGTCGCCAAAAACTGAGTGAACTTGGCTGGGAACTTTTGATGCATCCACCATATAGCCCTGACCTTGCACCTTCAGACTACCATTTGTTTCGGTCTTTGCAAAACTCTTTGAATGATAAAAATTTTGATAAGGACGAGGACATAAAATCCAACTTGCTTCAGTTTTTTGCAGCTAAAGGCCAGAATTTCTCTGAGCGTGGAATAATGAATTTAAAGGAAAGGTGGCGAAAGGTCATCCAACAAAGTGGAAAATATATAATTGATTAAAGTTCATTCTAAAACTCAAAAAAATGTTTTCACTTTTTTTGAAAAAATCACCGGTTTCTTTTCGGTTTCGAGGTAATTGGATTCCCATAATGCTTAGGAGCAATTGGTAAACATTGGTTATAAAATCTTAAATTTGCGCTAATGTTCTAATAATGGTTTACAGACGGATGCCACATTGAGATTCATCCATCATCTGACGAAGCTGTGGATTATTATAATTACATATAAAGGATGGTATTCCACCGTTTTGATGGCATTAGTTGACTCTAAGTAAAGTCTAAAAACTCAGTATACACATAAGTACATAAGTAATGAGTACAATGTATTTTCAGATACCGTTTTACTTACATAAACGTAGAAAGTCCCGGGCGATATAATGACTCTCAAATTTATGAGACGTCATCACTTAATAAAGAAATAGATAGCTATGCTTTACTAAGCGAAATGTCTAGAAAAACTTCGGGCGGAAATGTGCCAGTATTCATTATTGGGGATTCGGCTTTTCGATTTAGCAAACAACTATTGAAACCGTATCCATTTAGCGTAAATCAAAATAATGGTGAGAAGGTATTCAACTGTGCTCTTTCGAAAACACGTCCAGTTGTGGAAAATGCTTTTGGACACCTCAAAGCCCACTTTCGAGACATCGGAAAAATAATTGACAACTCCATAATAAAAGACGCAACATGCCTTCACAATTTTTTAAATGGTAACAACGACACGCTAACCGCTAAATGGTTATGCGCTTTGGAAGAGTTGGAGACTAGACGCCAAAAACCGTGTAATGTTTCATATGCATCTGACGACCCAATTAATGGAGATATGATTCGGACAGCACTTTGTACATATTTTGGTAAGTTCATGTGTATATTGTATCACAATGTCTACATTTTACACAATTACATATACATTAAATTAAAGATAAAGTTGTACAAACCAAACAAAGTTTAATTTTATTTTCCATACAAAAACTAATTCATGTCTACGTTAAACATATATTTTTAAACAAAAAATATATTCATAAATTTTTTTTTGTCATATCCATAATTTTTTAGTGGTTTCATTGGATTCGCTGAGGGCGACGGTAGGCAAACCGGTGATGGCAGTGGAGATGCAGCAACAAATTCTACCGAAATTTGAAGTGGTTTGGAGTCAGTAACACATTTTTTAAAAATTTACATATGTATGTAAATATAAATAATATATTGAATTATAAAACAAATGTTTCTTACTTTGAAAGCTTTCCCGCACTAAGCTCTCGGCAACGAGTACGGCTTTCATTTTCTCATACAGTGGCCACTGCGAGGGAGAACCGTCAGTTTACTCGACTGCTGCCTTCTCTTTTCTGTAAAACATAATATTTATGTAATAACTCAATTTTTTCTTAATTTTATTTAATTACCTATATCTCTATGATGCATTTTAGATTTGATTTCACTCGCCGTGAAATGCACACCTTGTTGCTGCAACTCCATTGTCATTTCCTCCATTATGCGGTTATTTTTCCTTCGCCGTCGAAAAGCACTAATTTTATTCTGCCACAATTCAATCAGTAGGGCTTCTGCTCTATCACTTCAACAATTTCTTTTCTTGTATTTTTGTTTTTCCATTTTTTAATATTAATTTCAAATACAAACTAACAATTGTCTATGGAATGTAACCAATTACAAGTGACAATTAAGGGCCGTCAAAATATGTCTTCCAAAAAAATCAATTAAACTAGAGCAGGCACCAATTATAATGAGTGGAGTATAAGTTTTCAAGTAGTTTTCAGCGAAAACTGTGTTGTCATTTGACAGATATTACATGGACGAAAACACAAGTTTTCGTGCGAAAACCAGTTTTTCCCAAGAAAACATGTATAAGTAATACTATGTTCAGACCGACAATAGTATTACTTATGTGTATTGTATACCGGGGTCATATCGAGTAAGGGGACACTGAATTATACGGTTTATCCTGCGGCTCAGCTCCCCCTCGATATACGAAAAAATGGAACCTCGCGAGCACTCAAGTGTTTCGTAATACACATAAGTAATTTCAGCCTTTGTCCGTTGTGACATCGGTCACCTTCTTGTGAAATCACATACCTCTGAACCTATTCGACCAATTTCAACCAAATTCGGGTACATAAAATTATTCTGACAATTATGTTGCGTTGCAAAAATATAGCACAGTGCTTTCTAATTATACAAATGAACAAATCGAAATACAACTTTGCGTGTATGATATGCCATCTCCGAAAATTCTCAAAATCGAACCATAACTGTTAAAGCTTTCAGACACAGAAAACCTATGGATGACTATTTACCGAACAGATTTGTCGGTGTGTGAAATATATAATTAAAATTCGGAGAAATCTTGATAATAGTATGTCTGTCTATCATAAATGATGGGGTAAATACTACCCTTAGCCCTCATTTATATAATAGAAAGTTTCTCCTCTCATGTTAACCCCGTGAATCTACAATAATTAGCCACAACCTTTGCGGTGAATTGATGACCCAATTGAGTCCAACTTTTTTTCGTTACAGATGAAATAAATCAACAGTCGAATAAGAAAACTAACTAAACTACATCTGTGTCATTTAGAGGCTATAGGTATTTGGTGTTGTTCAGAAATGTTTATATTGGTTGTATTGTGGCCGAGAGGACCGTGGAGAATGGTCAACCGAACAAGCAAATATGAAATGAAAAGCAAGCTGTTATATAGTATAACTTAAACAATTTCATCTTATAATATTTTCAATTAAATAATCTTGTTTATTTGTCTTCTTAGGAAACTTTTTGCCAAGAGAGCAAAGCTCATATAATGTAGGTTATCAGGCGTATCTACATAATAGAAACAGGGAACGAAAGTGTTTTCAGAGACACCTGGCGCATCTACTTAGCTGCACTAGCAAGTAACGGTACGCATACACGTACGTACATATACATACATTGCGCTAAAGGAGATGCTCACAATTTTCAACGCATGCAATTAATATAACTGTAAATATGACTATAGTATATTAAATGAATATAAATGCGAATTCTTTGTTCCCTCTAGTGAAATGGCATGTGAATAATAATAATTATTATGCGAGCAGCAGCAAACATCGCATCGCAGGTGGCCACCCGACATGACGTAGTACGCGTGTGCACAGAAACCGCCAGGTCGACAGACAGGTTAACCGTGACGTTTGCACCAAAATCACTTTGCAAAGCAAACCGAGCAGAAATATGCGTAATTCCAGCAACAACAAAAAGGCCCTAAAAGAATTAAAAAGGAAAACAAAATTAAACGCTTGAAAATGGCAACGAAATGCAATTAAAGATATTGCAATCGCAAAAGCAACACGCGCCGCTTAAAACTGTTTGCGAATGCAACAATTGCAATTGTGAAGCACAAACGCACAAATGCTGATGATATCAGGTGGCAACGCTAAAGCTGTGGCTACGCAACAATGTGAATTAACGGTAAATTATGTCAATATTATTGACAGCATTTGGCTGATTAAAGAATCGGCGTGCGAGCGGGCGGCAATTCCAAATTGCGCCGGAATTGCATATTTTTCATATTTTTAATGTTTCCAGCGAAATCACCATTTTTATTTGCTGCCACTGACACTTATTACGTCTGCGTTTACCTCGCTTTTAATGGCTCCTGTTCGGCTGTAATTTAAAACATGCGAATATACGTCTGTGCACTTACTTTGGCAATTACATCTCTTTGAGACACACAAGCGTATGAGTTACGCTCGCACATCGGTGGGAGAAATATTTGTAATAAAAATACTTAAATAAATTATTTAAATGAAAATATGCTGCAAATATAGTGCAGTAGTTTATTTATAATATTTTCACCAAGTGGTTTTACTTTAAAATACTTTGATTCAGCGAGCATATCTTTTTACAAATTCGCAACACTTTTCAATGAGTAGTAGCCAAACAACGTTGTTGTTGTACCAATTGTCGACAGCGATTACCTACTATACACATATGCCGATCGAAATACGCTAAGGTACATGAAGTATTTTCTGGTAATTTTATCAATATATGTATATAGCAATCGAACTTACTTGATCTACATCAGGGAAGCTCATACTATGGCTCACTTGGCTCCAACGTCACTTATAATAAGCACAAAAGTATACTATAATATCTTTTACAAATACAAAAAGAATTCTTACAAGAACTTGATTCCGATGATTTAGTTTGTATGACAGCTGTATGTTATAGTGATCCGGTATCGGCGATTTCCATAAATGAGCAACTTCTTAGGGAGAGAATGTGCTCAAAATTTGAGAGCGATATCTTAAATACTGAAGCACTAGTTCGCGTGTTGTCATCGGAGAGGTATTCACTGTACAAACGTGGTCAATGAAACTTTCACCCTAGCTGGGGTTGTGCCGCTGGACTTGGGACTCGTCACGTAAATTGTAATTCTAATGAAGGATACACGAAAGTCTCAGATATAGGCCTCTATAGGGAAGGTGCCGCTATTCAGATGGTGAATTTCCTTGAATAATACAAAATCGACTTCAACGTATCCTATGAAATACGCTGGATAAGTCATAGCTGCACGAAATATGGTCCCCATGAGTCAAAGGATGGGCACACAAATATCAAGACCAAATTTTATCACTTTATCCATAAGTCTAATTTGTGGCAAAGCGCTGACACAAGAAAAGGACAACTTTAAAAAAGAGCAATCCTAAAATCGCTTGGAGAAATCACATAATAAACTGGGTTTTAAATTTCCAATTCAAAAATTCTAGATTAAAAATTAAATATTCTGTTTTAAATTCCAATGTTGTGATTAAAAATCGATTTAAAAATTAGTTTTTATTGAAAGATGTTTGTGCTAAAAATGGATATATTTATTAATTTGAATGTGCAAGTTTGTAGACCAGAGCTAAAGAGTATTGAAGATGATGGCTCTAATTGAAGAAAGTAAGAAGACGACGGAAGAGAGACTTATTTTCAACAAAATGAATAGAGGCATAAGAACTTTGAGGTTCGGAATGCTGAATAGAGGCATTCGGTTCGAAATGTTACCGAAAATTCAGACAGCAAACAAATGGTTTCAATCCAACATGGCAACGTTATCATCTCGCACATAAACCAAAACAAGGTGAAAAAGCAGGAACATTTTTTCAACAATATTGATCTTAAGAGTGTGGAGTTAGAAAATCCACAATAGACCACATTTTTACATTACTTCAAATCTTGGAGAGAATTCACCGTTACTTTTTTGTTTTGTGTTGGTCCGAGTTGGACAATTTGTGGTCATATGGAGGCCTACTTTAACCCTTATGTTAGTAACCGGTGTATTTGTGTTAATAGCTTTCAAGCATTTTAAACTTTCAAATCGTCGTTGAAAGAAAGGTAGTTTCACGTGCATTGCGAAGAAATGTCTAGCATGTTGAAGAATATTGCCATTGACAATCATCGTCGTAGACTTGTGTATCTGCGGACCATTTGGTCCACTGTATTAAGGTCAGCTTTATATTTATTACAAAAATTTATAACTTCTGGTTTTTGTTTAGCGTCATCACAACTGATGAATCTGATTGCATTGTTGATAACAGAATGACAGCTTCTTTTTAGGGACGTAGGAACACATGGCAACCTTTACGTCAAATCCAAAAACTATCAAATACTGCTCCCGTGTCTTATTTGCTGCCATAACACTAGGGATTTAAGGTTTACTTTTTTATCGTGCCAACATGTACATCTGAGCTAAATTGGAATTCTATATTGTCCACACATCACCAATTGAAGCTGCCCTGTCTTCCTTCTTACGTTGACTTCGGGTATTACTATCGTCGAATCCTACAAAACCCAGAGTATTATGGAATCTCGTCAATCCCATCGTCGCGCGATACAGCGGATAGGAATTGGAGTGCCACATATAATATTAAAGTATGAACTGTATTTGAATTATTTGCGCCAGCACAAATCAATATACCGAAGAATGAACAAATTTCGGGTGTCGTAATGAGCTTCCATTGATGCTGAGAGTTTCGATGTTCAAATCATATTCAAAAATTTGTTTGTGGGTACCCGGGTACCTGGTTGCTAAAAGACGTCGGTAAATTTGATTACTAACATAAGGGTTAAGCGCACTATTTGTTTAATCGCGATACAATCATTGTTGCTTGATCTGCATACTGG